TTTTTTTTTTTTTTTATTATTATTATTTAAAAATTGAAAAATTTTGGTAGCATAAATAGATATGGGCCAATAGTCGATACTACCTTGGAGATCCAAATTTATAGTTAAACCTTTGATCAAAATATATGATTTTCTATGTTATATGTTTAATAAATAAAGACAATGTAAGCAGGTATGGCGTTCTCTTAAAATTATTATATAATGCTAATACCATTTATTATAATAACAAAACTTAAAAGATCTAATTGGATTATAAAATTAAAAAGTAGCATATTCTTTACTAATAAAATTTGTATCCATACGCCTATTAATAATCATTTTAAAGGTTCCCTCTAGATTTTAAGTTGTTGGATTCAATACCAATAACCAACTATATTTAATACATTAACTAGAAATATTGTTTTATAAATAGCTTATTCATTATCATTGATAAGAGATTAAAATGAAAAATGTATAATTAATCACGTTTTACATTATTTAATAGACATTTTTATCAAAATATGAACAGCATATTTGCTACCTATCCTGATTCAATTAAGCCAACAGATATTTCTCTGGACCAATAAATATTTTACTATTATCAAAATACTAAACTTAAATTTATAAATAATTTAATAAGTAACTATCAACAATTAGTAAATTATATTTTAATTTAAAATTTGTATTTTTAATTTAAAGTGATTTGATGTAAAATTTAAATTTAATTGAGAATTTAAGTATTTAATCATACAAATTATAAATGATATATTTTATTATACCTGATCTAGAAACTCTTTCGATATCATTTCCTTCTACAATTAACTCGTCTTTCAGTTTAGAGTTAGTTATGGTTACACCTGGCGACATCTTGACACGTCTAATATATTTTTCACCCAAGAAATTTCTGATTTCTATGAGTGAATTGTTTTCAGAAGTAACGCAATTGATTGGGAAATGGGCATACACAGCTCTCAGTTTGTACAAGAAACCCTAAAAATAATTAAAAAAATAATTTCAAAAAGTTTTATTATTTAATTAATAGGCGCTTACTTTAGTCACACCCTTTATCATGTTTTCAACATGGGTACAGATAGTTCTGACGGCAGCCAATTCTTTCTTGGTGCCAAACCATTTTTCGACAGTTAACAAACGTGGTGTTTTCAGGTATATATCAACAGCCAAATGTTTAAAATTTCTTTCTAATGAACCACGGGGGCCTTTCACGACTATAAACCTCTTATTGACCGTGACATCAATGCCTTCGGGGATTTTTATTGATTGGTTGGCGTTTATGGTCCTCATCTGAAAGTTTTAAATAAATATTTTAAATGGATATTCAAAACAAAACATACAAAACAACAATAAATATTGTATCTCAGTGAAGATTCAGAGTTAATAATGACCAATATACAAAATGTATCAGTGTGCAACAGGCATTAATGAGATTATACAGCCAGGAAATCTTAAAAATTACACAATGAAATCACTTAAATTATAATAATTTATATTAAAGATGCATAGTACACGGATATATCGCCCGTGTGCACTTTTCATTCAACGTTGAGGATGTCAACGAAAAATTCAATACATTCCAAAATTTTAAACTCACAATAGTTAACAGAAATACTCTTAAATAATCGACTAATAGTCGTGTCCGAAGATCGACAATAAGACCTATATAAAAATCAATAGAAACCTAACAGCAAATAGTCACGGAGAAGTGCAAAATCAACTTGTCGTCGGTCGTCACCGTCGTAAGTCACGAAACTAGAAAAAATATACTTCTAAACACGAACACAAAATAAAATAACAATTGTGGAGAACTTACTGCTACGATCAATTGATTTTAAAATATAATACAGTAGACGAAAATTTGGATTACGTTGGATGAAAATCCGAAAACACCGACGACGTAAACTAAAATCGAAGAAGAGAATTATTTGTTAAGTGCGAATTCGAGGTTATGAAAAAATATCATGAGGACGTGGTATAAGCGGTATGCTTTAATGTACGATATTTAGTCGTGAACACAATCACAGTAACCAGTATGATTTTTGCTATCAATATTCTTATCAACCGTTGTTATTGTATATTTTTTCTAGTTTCGTGACTTACGACGGTGACGACCGACGACAAGTTGATTTTGCACTTCTCCGTGACTATTTGTTGTTAGGTTTCTATTGATTTTTATATAGGTCTTATTGTTGATCTTCGGACACGACTATTAGTCGATTATTTAAGAGTATTTCTGTTAACTATTGTGAGTTTAAAATTTTGGAATGTATAGAATTTTTCGTTGACATCCTCAACGTTGAATGAAAAGTGCACACGGGCAATATATCCGTATACTATGTATCTTTAATATAAATTATTATAATTTAAGTGATTTCATTTTGACAATTTTTTTTCAAAATTCAAACGTAAATAATTTATAAAAAAATCTTGGGCACGTTGATTTTTAATATTTTTCAACTGCTATTGTAACAATAATATGTGCAGGAACCTTGAATTAAATTTTCACGCTTTTTGACCCAACAAATTTATAATTACTAATTTATCAACAACTATAGAAAAAAAATTGAAAATCTCCGTTAACAGCTCAGAAAAAGTGAAAATTTTTTGAAAATAGTATCAAGTATAGGAATTGATACAATATATATATAGTATAAATTATTAAAAGTATCTACAGTTATTCGTTTTTTTAATTACAACATAAGAAAATCGCTAAATGATAAATCGAGTGAATATCCAATGTTGTAAAAATCTGAATTTCAAACGCTCATAAAAAATAAATTTGTATTTCCGGTAGATATTTTTTTCATAAAACTAGACAACCTTATGAAGAATCTTGTACTAAATTTTTAAATTTTAGATTTTAGATTTAAAAAGAAAAATTGTTATGAATTTCTAACAAAATAATTTGCACATTTTCTTCATTTTTACGTATTTTCTATTCTGTGATAATACACAGAAATTTTGTTATTTTCTATCAAACACGATTTGCTTATGCCTAATACATAAAACAATAATTTATATATTATTTACAAATATATTTTATCAATATTACGTATCATGTAATTTATTAATTTATATGGTATTCGAAGATGTACTCGCGTCTTTTAGTCTAAACTATCTATGTTCTATACTCATTCATAGATATACCGAACTAAACAAGAAAAAAGAACTCATCCAATAAAAGATAACTAACATAACCAATCTAATTTACACGAGTCTTTTCAGTGGAACCATGTATTCATAAGTATATGAATTTAAATCAAAATAAAAAATAAAAATTTGTAAAGAAGCTTCTGGCAAATCTGAGTAGATCCATGTTTATAGTTATGCTCAGTTACTAAAACGTTTATATCAAACACGAGATATACAATAAGCTATAATAAATAAATCTGAAATTATATTCATTTTAGGATAAGAATGACTACTTGAAAAATGAAAACTAGTCATATTCGCAAATGTCTAGTCACCATAGCGAGTGTTAATACCTGTCATCGAGTCATAAGATGTATATTATGTAATGACTAATGAGCTATTAGTGAACTATACCATATCATTCTTAAAATACCGGACTACTAATAAGCTAATTTTGAAATAATTTATGAATTCAATATTTTATATACCCAATAGTATAAAAATATTATTGCACCTATACACTCAGCTATAATGTGATGTATTATAATATTAATATTATGACGTCGACCATGACAAATAATAACAGTTGATAATTGGAAACAAACCACAACATACCTAAATCTTGTCAGGGGGATCATCAGATTATTTTGGCCAATTAGTATGTATGCGTTTAAGAAGGCAATCTTATTTAGAATAGAGTATATAGAGGTGTATACAGTTTTCATTTGCTTAAATGCCTTAAATAAAATCTTTTTGAATACTAACACTAGTATAAAGAAATGATAAAAAAAAAAACAAAATTAAACGTATGAAATAATCAATTTTTATTCCTCTTGTACAACTGTTGTCTTTTCAGATACATATAAACCATCCAAGAACTTACGGATATCCTTGTTCTTTACGGTTGTAGACTGTTGGATTAAAGCAGCTAAAACAAATAATAAATAATTTTTTATTATAATTAAACACTAGATAAATTTATATATTGTATTAAATGCACTTCATAAAATTAAATAATAATAATACAAATTGATTCATTTATACGCCATAGTTTATAATTTATACAACAAAAGTGTTTTAAATTTTTATTTAACTTTTTTTCAGATTAATAGTTTGGGTTAAAAAGACATTAAACCTCCATGTGTTCTGTCTTACAAATACATAATATTACATTGAATTTAAATTAACCTGTTATAAAATCTTAACATTATCTGGTAAACCTCATACTTTTTATTTAAAAAAAAAAAATTAAAACCAGTTTGAAAATCTAAATTTTTTATGCGTTTAAAATTTTAATTAATCACTTTGAAATTGATATATATAAAAAAAACTTTGAGGTTAACTTTTCTAACTTTTAATGTTGGTAATAAATTAACTGTAATAGTAAACATCAAGGAGTTAAATGAGTTTTTCAAAAGCAAAACTACAGGATGTTAAGTTATAACAATGCCCTAAGACCCAAAACCCTTGAATATAATTTATGTATACAAAAATTTCAATTTTTGTTTTAAAATTCACAACGTACTACTATAGAGATAAAAAAAAAAAGGTGCAAAACATATACTTCTTTTAAGAGTATATACCAAGCTAAACTTATATACCTATCATTAATGAAATAATTGTTGACAACAAAAATAAGTGATACGGAGAAAAAGATTAAAATATATTATATGAACTAAATTGTACTATTGTGAACTAAATTAAGAACATAAATTAATTGCAAACAGCAAAGATTATATAGTGTACTAGAATTATCTTAATTATAATATTGAGACATAACTATGAATAATTTTAAAATATTATATATTATGAACTATTAGTGATTAGTTCACGTATATATAATATAGTGTGTATTTTGTAGGACAGTAATCATTATTATCAGATGATACAGGATTCTACCACAAACATCAATAACACCTAAAAATGTAATAATTATAAAAATATAACATAAGAAAATTATTTGTATATCTTGGTTTATCTGTATAAATGTAAATTTACATTTGACTGAGAACCAATAAGTTTAATTTTTAAACTGTAATTTTTGTTACATTATGTGTTCAAAAAAAAAAAATTGGAAATACTCCACTTATAGTTTGCATGATTTAAAACTTACATAAGCTTGAAATCAAAATTACATTTAGCTTTATTTTATCAGTATGACAGTATTGTAAGACATGGTACATCAAATGTAAAATTGCTTAAATTAAATAAGTTATAATTATAACAGTACTGGTCTAATTGACACTTGCCAAAAAATAATTCTCCCACAATTTACATTTATTTAATTAATGTTAAATTAAACTATTGATTTTTTTTTTTTTTTTATTATTATTATTTAAAAATTGAAAAATTTTGGTAGCATAAATAGATATGGGCCAATAGTCGATACTACCTTGGAGATCCAAATTTATAGTTAAACCTTTGATCAAAATATATGATTTTCTATGTTATATGTTTAATAAATAAAGACAATGTAAGCAGGTATGGCGTTCTCTTAAAATTATTATATAATGCTAATACCATTTATTATAATAACAAAACTTAAAAGATCTAATTGGATTATAAAATTAAAAAGTAGCATATTCTTTACTAATAAAATTTGTATCCATACGCCTATTAATAATCATTTTAAAGGTTCCCTCTAAATTTTAAGTTGTTGGATTCAATACCAATAACCAACTATATTTAATACATTAACTAGAAATATTGTTTTATAAATAGCTTATTCATTATCATTGATAAGAGATTAAAATGAAAAATGTATAATTAATCACGTTTTACATTATTTAATAGACATTTTTATCAAAATATGAACAGCATATTTGCTACCTATCCTGATTCAATTAAGCCAACAGATATTTCTCTGGACCAATAAATATTTTACTATTATCAAAATACTAAACTTAAATTTATAAATAATTTAATAAGTAACTATCAACAATTAGTAAATTATATTTTAATTTAAAATTTGTATTTTTAATTTAAAGTGATTTGATGTAAAATTTAAATTTAATTGAGAATTTAAGTATTTAATCATACAAATTATAAATGATATATTTACGGTATGCTGCGTTCAAATTTACATTGCTGTGCATTTTCCCAATCAATTGCGTTACTACGAAAACAATTCACTCTAGTAAAGTCGAAATTTCTCGGTGAAAATATATATTGACGCTGTCTCAAGATTCGCCAGGTGTAACCAACTAACTCTACATAAACGAAAAAGACGAGTTAATTGTTGAAAGAGAATGATGTGTATTAGAGTTCTATGATCAGGTATAATACAAATATATGT